TGTCTGCCTTTGATCCGGCAGGGCTGTGGGTCCTGGTGCACCCCTGTCCTTCCACAGTCCACACTATTCTGCTGGAAGGGAGCAGGACCCTGCCCGGCCACAAGAGGCCTTGGCATGCTAGGTGGTTTCTCCAGCCTTGGGGCAAGATCATAGCACCATCTCCTCCTGGTCTCCTCTGTGCCCTTGTGTCACCCCCTTGGAGCCGACACTGGGACACAAGCCAAACCCTGGAACCCACAAAGTCACAGCTCTGTGACAGAGCAATGAATTATCCATCATGTTCTTTTTAACTCCTGGACACACATATTGCCTTCCTAATTGAGTTTGTTTTAGGTGAATAATCAGGGTAACTTGTTTTTCCTGGCACTGTGCTGACAGGTCTGGGATGTACCCCCTGAGGGCCCAGGGTTATGGGCTGACTCGGTCCTTAGAGGGAGGGTGGATGTGCGGTGTCCTGATGAACAAAGGTGAGCTATTCCCAAAAGCCCATGTTGTTGTTGTTTTTGTTAGGCCGTCAAGTGGACTTCGACTCACAGTGACCCTGTGAACAACAGGCCTGAACCTTACCCTGTCTTGAGCCATCCTCACGATCTCTGATGTGGTCAGCCTGTTGTTAACTGTCACTGTGTCAGTCCGTCTTGTTGAGCGTCATCTTCTCATCCCTGACCCTCCACCTTTCCCTGCATGATGTCTAAAACAATTCGGAGTAGGAATGGGGAGAGTGAGTGAGTGAGTGAGTGAGTGAGTGAGTGTGTGTGAGAGAGCGAGAGAGAGAGAGCGCAAGAGTGCAAAATTTGGCTCTTCTAAAATTAACTTAGGGTTGAAGCACTGTTTTTTAGGTGAAATAATGGTGAGTATAAGGAAAAGCATTTCAGAGAGGATGAGGATGGTACCGGACAGGGCAAGGTTCAGATCTGTTGTTCGTAGGATTGCTATGAGTCATAGTCTACTCAATAACACATAACAACAATAATATAATAATGTCCTGTCTGAGCAAAATAAAAACTTGGCACCCATGTCTGTTCTCCTAGTTAATTTTTTAAAACTTATCTGTGAAGGCCTATAGGCGTCCGCCGCCGGGGGTGGGGTCAGTGGTGTGCTGGGAAATTATTACAGTGCACTTCCCTGGGAAGAAAGCCCTGGTATATAGCGTTTGCCAATTCACATGGTATAAATACTCCCACTTTGGCCGATTTCATCTTCCCAGGATGACTTCACTGTCAGCTCCTGAAACCCAGTGCAAGCTGACTCTAGCGCTCTCTCGATCAAATTGTACATCCACCACTGTCTGTACAAATGTCCTCGGACAGGCCATTTAACTTCTCTGTGCATCATTTTCTTCTTCTGCAAGTTGGGAATGAAAATGATTGCTTCTTCTTGAGGGTTGAAACAAAAGACTAGACTTTCTGGAGCCACAGAGGGTGGGAGAATCCCTGAACTTTTTGTCCTGAGAAAAATCTTTTAAACCTTAAAACAAAAATATTCCTTAGTATCATCTTAAAACTAAACAAAAGTTTCACTTGTAACTAATGAGTGAAGCTCTGTCTTGAGCTTTATGCCTTTAAAAAGTAAAAAGGATGTAACAGTTTAATTTCTTCTTTATTGTGATTGTAATGGAAGTTTTTAAAGAAATTAGCTTTCATTCACTTATTTATACAGGTTCGTTCCCCTTCCCTCCCCCTTCATTTCCTCATGCGTGTCCTTTACCTACTCACAATGTCATGTTTGTTCTTTTCAGAATTACCTTCCCTTTATCTATTCCAATGCCATGTTTCTTGTCTATCCATTTCTTCCTGCTCTCCCTGCCTTTCCCCGACCCTTCATTCTCTTGATTGATAACAGTGGTCTTGTACCTCACTTGTGCCTTTGTGACGGCATTAATTCACTCACCATCAAGTCTTCTGGACTCATCCATATAAGTGTTTTCCACATCTCCATTGTTTTTCCATGGGGTCTAGTACTGTGTTGTGTGGATGTCCTGTAGTTTCTCTATCCATTTGTTTGTTGATGGATGGTTGGGCTGCTTCCATCTCTTTATGATTGTGAACGGCGCTGCAATAAACATGGATTTGCATACATCTATTTGTGTCTTATCGAGCATTGTGCTTTTCAAAGAACTGTCTATGTGGGATCAAGAGGGAGTTCTGGGGTTTAGTACTTAACAAGTTGCGCTGCTAACCCAAAGCCCATGCCTCTGTGGTGGTTCGAATCCACCAGCAGCTCTGTGGGAGAAGGATGGGCCATCTTCACTCCTATGACTTACAACTTCAGAAACCCAATGGAGGACCAATTAGAGTAGATTCCAACATGATGTGGGGCGGGGAGGGGGGGAGAGAGAGAGAAGAGGAAGGAGAGAGAGAAGAGAGAGGTGGGATCAAATTGATAAGCAAAATACCCACACTCAACCCACTGTCATGGAGTCAAACCAATTCATAGTGATTCTATAGGACAGAGAAGAAGTACCCTGAGGGTTTTCAGATACATTTATATTGACACAAATTCCCTCATCTTTCTCCCTCACAGCCATTGGTAGATTCGTACCTCCAGCCTTTAAGTTAGCGACTCAATGTTTACTCCATTGTGACGCTGGGACTCCTTAAATGTACAACAGCAACTCAAAAGATTAGATAGTAGATAGAAGACTTAGGAGGCAGGGGATGGATGTTAATGGAACAACTCAGTAAAGGAGAGTGAAAAACAACTTGAAGAATGTACACAGTGTCACTGACTTGTACACGGAGTAGTGATTGCATGGTGTTGGTTTTGCTGTGTGTGTGCTCAGCACCAACAAAATAAAAGGTAAAGCAAGGAGAGCAGCTGACACACCCCTCTACCTGGTGTAGAGAGAGCACACTACAAGTCGTCGCGTGAATTACTAACCTCATGAATGATTATGATTGGCATTTTGTCCTCTGGACCAGTGAGTGGTGAGGATCAGGGTCAGGGCCAGGCAGAGCTAATGATGTCCCTTGGAGATGAGCTGACAGACTCTGTACTGGCCTGTCCCAGCATTCGCCTCCAGCGCTCCGTTTCAGAAGCACAAAACAACCACCTGCTACATTAACCACTCACCGCTAGGGCCACGTGGCCAGTGCCTGGGGGACAGAGGCCAGGCCAGGCAGGCTGTCCCTTCTCAGCAGGGCTTGCCCTTGCCAGGCTGGTGGCTGAGAGCTGCTTGCCCGTCTCAGCCCAGCCGGCAGCCAGGCCTCCACCCTGGCTCAGGGTTAGATTTTGACCCCCACAGTTGGGAGCGGAGGTGGGAATCAGGCTGTGGCTCGGCCGGCAACAAGCCGAAGCTAATACCTCTTTCTTTTGATGTTGATTCACCCACCACCCCCCATCATAGTCCTGACATTCAGCTTGGCAAATTGCAATTAGTGGTCTGCCCGCCTCCTGCTCTGAGTTCCCATGCCAACCGACCCGGGCACACAATGGCATGAGCCCAGCCCTCAGCCATAGGCCTGAGGAAGGATGCGGGGCAGGGGGCCAGAGTAGAGGTCTGGGCAATTCTGACCTAGTGAGCTAGAAGGGAGTTGAATCTCCGAGCAACATCAGAGAAGGTGGCAACTGAAACACAGTCACTTAGAGCCTGTGGATCCTGGGTTTCTCTTCCAGCAGCCGGAGGGGTTGACATCACCCCACCTCACCTGTGCCCTGTCAGCTCTGATTGATCTGGGGCTTGTCTAAATCTTTGTGGTATTTCTCCTATGTTCCCTCCCTAATGGAGCCTCTTGCAAAATAGGAATGAAATCGAGAAGTTGAGGTACAGTTTTAGCTGCACTAGGGTACCCCATAGGGAACTCTGGTGATTTGATTGCTCTACCAATCCAAAGGCACGCAGTTTGAATCCACCAGCTGCTCCGTGGAAGAAAGATGGCTACTTTCCCTCCTCCTGTGCGATTTACTGCCTCTGAGAACTCTCTCTCTCTCGAGTCAGCTGTGTGTCTGTTCCGACTTGATGGTACATAACAGGGAGCCATGGTCATAGTAGAGAATGCCTTTGGACATGTGGCAGACATCTCTGTGACCTGGCCTGGGCAGGGACAGTGGAATCTTGGTCAGCTGATCTGGCACTGCCTTGAAGCGGTGGAGAAATCCTCTGGGGGTTTGAATGGCTTCGGGGATCTTCCTCAGCCGCTGTCTGTGTCCATGTGGGGTAGGAATGCAGGGTCATGTGACCACCTGTCCATCCTGATCACTCACAGCGTTAGGGGCCCGGTGCTGCATCCCGAACCTGCCTCTTCTCGTGTATCTTCATGACATCCTAAGAGGTGGCTTCACACCCCAGAGGAGGAAACCAAGTCACAGATGGACTAAAACAGGGTGAGAGGAAGACCTGCTTGAGATAGTGGCTCAGGTGAAAGATTTGTGGGACCTGCCAAACTCCAGAAAGGGACGAGATGGTCTGAACTGGACCCCTGGGCAGGACTGCACTGATGAGCCCCATGCTTATGGGGTGCAGAAGGCAAGCTAGACATCCATTGCTCAGAAGGGTAGCGACCTACCCTGGGGTCACCCAGAGACTTGATGCTGGCAGCAGACTGGTACTTCTTTCCCCTACCCAGCCCCAGTCCTGCCTTGGGGACAGAGACTCTAAGAGCCAGTGGGACCACGCCCAGCCCACTCCTACCCTCCCTCATCCCAGTGTCCAGAAGTTCCAGGTTCAGAAACGAGACATCAATGGCTGGCTTTTCACGGTGAAAAATGGTCTCCCTGCAGGCATCTTCGAGCCACTGAACTCCCTCAGTGCATTTCAAATACAGTCCTCTCTCCTCCCTGGCAGTCCCACAGTGACGGAGAGCCTGGTGGCAGAGTCCGGGCCACCAGGTCTGGACTTCAAAGGGAAACCACAGGCATGCTTGGGGCCTCGCCTCTCCTTCTCCTCCAGTGAAAATTGGGCTCTAAGGGGTGGCTGTCCCCGGTTGCTTCTGGACAGCCGGGGCTGGGCTGTTCCCACACCAGGTGGCTCCTCCTGACATCTCTCTCCTCTCTGCACACAGGATGCAGCACTGGGCCCGGCGCCTGGAGCAGGAGATTGATGGCGTAATGCGGATTTTTGGGGGCGTCCAGCAGCTCCGAGAGGTAAGCCAACTCCACTTGCGTTCCCTTCAGGGACCCTCCTCCAAATGAGAATTGGCAGGGTGGGAACGTTCAGAAATAAGGAGCAAGGGAGATTTGGCATTATGGAGGGCACAGGGCCTAGATTAGGGATAGATAGCTCTGGTGGCTTAGTGGTAAGGAATTGTGCTGCCAACTTAAAGGCACATGGTTCAAATCCAGCAGCTGTTCCACAGGAGAAAGATGAGCAAGCAGTCTCTTCCTGTGCAATTCACTGACTCTGAAAACCCATTGGAGGGCCAGCTCTGGGTCCCTTCTGACTCAATGGTGAATGACAACGATGGTATATGAAGATCCTGCTGTGAAGGCAGGCAAGGGGAGGTCTCCAGGAAAGCAGAGGATCCATGGAGTCTTGATCTGCTCTTCCAAAGGTCACTGTGCTTAAGCATGTCACAGGCCAGCTCTGATGGTGACCTTGTCTCTGTGAGGTGCTCATGGGGTCCTCCCTAGCAGGGCCCAGATGGATAAGGTTTGCATCTGAAGCAGAAGTTAAGGTGGAAGGTCAGGCCCGTGAGGGTTCAGCGGATGCAGCTATGCCCAGACGCTGATGTGGGAGGAGCTGCCCGTGGAATGAGTGCCACAGCCGGAGAATGGTGCTTCTGGCTCGAGGCAGCTGTAGCAGTGAGTCGAGTCGGGTTGGAAGCCCGCACTTGGAAGGATGAAGGATCAAGAGGTGGGAGGGGTGATTGATTAGGCACAAGCGACCACATTCATCCTGAGAGATTATGTTAATGTTTGAAATAGTGATGTACGGAGCAGACCATCCGTCACCCCCAGAAGGCTGCAAAATGTGTCGCTGTCAGGCCACAGACTCCTGAGCTGTCGCTCTCGATGTGAAAACGCTGACAGTCAGAGAGCTGAGCTTTGGAGTGGTGTGAGCGAGACCTCTGGGGTACACATGGAACTTTGAGGATCTCGTTGCTGGGGTGCTGGGCAAGAGGTGCTGATCAGAGTAAGCAGTGGCATTAGGGGGATAGATTCTGCTGAGGGCCAGCCCAGGACTCCGGAACAAACAAAGGCATAGGTGGGGCTCCGCAGAGTCTAGGTTCAGGCTCGCTGATTACATGCCCTGTCATGTTCTTGTCCTGGGCCACAGTCCCCAGGTGTACCTTCTATAGGGCAGGGGTGATGGGGTCTTTCCTTGTGTGCACTTTGTGCCTGCACCTTGGGGCTAGCTCCTGGCAGGGGCCACAGTGAGTGTGCTGACATTGGCTGGGAAGGTAGAGCCTCTGGTGCATGATGGGACTGATGAGGGGGTGGGGGTGGCTAGTGAGGCCATATAGAGCTCTGGTGGTCCAGCAGTAAGGAGTCGAACTGCCAACCCAACGGCACAAGGTTCAAATCCACCAGCTGCTCTACAAGTGAAAGATGAAATGACAACAAATAAGGTAGTAATGTGGAAGGAGTCCAAACCCAGAGGTGTCCAGACCATCAAGAAAGATGCTTTTTGGGGTTCTCACTGCAGGGGAGCCAGTCAGAGCCACCAGTTTGCTGGGCGTCCTCCTCCAAGTGGCCCAGCATCTCTGAATATCCCTTCCCTGGTCCTGGGCTTGATTCACACTAGCCCTCATCCCACTCTTTTCCTGTGAACACTTCAATGACTCACAGAAGCCCTGGGTGGCCAACAGAGCTTTCTAGAGAAGACACAGTCAGAAAAATTATTCCAGAACGGGAGTCCATTTAAGCTCAGGCACTAACCAGGTCTTAAGTGGACACTGCTGAGGACAGCCGTGTAGTAAAAAGGATCGTTCCCCAGAACATGCATTACGTGTCTTTCCAAAGTTTGTATAGGCACATGAGATGCACCCCATGTGAGGAGTTAGCCATGCATGTGAGTCAAGAATCCTCCATGATTCGATCATGTTGTTCATTTTATAACTCTGGACAGCACAGACCCTGAAAATTTGCCAACAAGAAAATAATGTACAGACTTGCAGCCCGAGACTTGGATCTGTCTGAACCATTGGGCTTCCTGGGTACCGAGGACCAGAGGTGGACTCCAAGCTCAGGGTGCCCCCTTGCTCCTCTGGGCAAGTTCCAGGCCCTCTTTGACCCTCGTTCTTGATCCTTAGTGTGGCTGGCGTGTCTGGTTAGGGCATGGGCAAGATTTCTAGAAATCAAATTTGAATTCCCTTGACAATCATTTCTATTCTCTTCCTTCCTGATGGCATTTGAGTGATTCCAGACACGTGTGCCAATGAGCACATCTTTCTCCCACCACCCCCACTTGCCCAGCAACAACCAAGGTCACACAGCTGGCTTGTGGCAGAGCTGGGGGCTTGGACCTGGGGTTCTAACTCCTGTTCAGTGGTGCTGTACCACCTCATGGTCCAGTGGACAGGATGAGCGGGGCCAGGGAGGACCGGCCAGACCAGGCCGTGGCTGGTATGACTGTTGCCTGCACAGCAGGCAGAAGAGAAACGCTGACCTGGCCTTCCTGGCTCCTCCTGGCAGCCCCTCTGCCTGCAGACGGCTGCCAGCTCTCCAGCGGCTCCATGTCCTGCTCCAGTTTTTTTCTCACCTGCTTCCTCAGCCTCTTACTTCCCGCTGACAGCTCTGGGGCTACTTCTTGGCAAGAGGCACTCTGGCAAGGTGGGCGGGGGGGAAGGGTAGTTGGGAAGATGTAGAGAAAGAGGGCAACCCCACGGGAGGAGGAAGGAGCCAATGGGTCATCTCTCCATCCCCCATGATGCTCTGCAGACACGAACCGAGCCACCACCATGCTCTTTCCAGTGCACGTGGAGGGCCCGTGTGCCTGGCCTGTGCCCAACTTTGAAGGCTTAGGAGGGTGGTTGGAGCTGAGCCCTGACCCAGCTGCGATGCTCCTGGGGCCCCTGGCACCAGCTCGGTTAGGCTGACACTGCAGCTTGGCCCCCACTGGAGCTGCACAGTCTTAGGTTTCTCTGAGTTGGTCTGAGCTGCCACCCAGGCACCAGCTCAGGTGGTTCTGGCACCAAGGCCCCTCTGGCCTTTTTCCTCTCCAGCCCTCTCTGCCTGCCCCTGTTCTGGGGGCACCCCCTCCCCAGAAAGAAGCTGCCAGCCACGAGGGCTGGCAGCTGCGAGGGTGCGGAAACTGCAGACAGTGGCTTCTGGGAGCATTTTCCCTGCCTTGGCACTTTTTCTCCTCTTGACCTCACCAAGCCCCAGGGGACATGACTGAGTGCAGGACTGTGGACCGTTTTACAGGTTGGAAATGGTAATACACTGTGACTCCATTGTATCTCCTCATTTGTACCCAAGATGACCAACCCATCCACTCAGTTCAGCTCGTTGTTACCGAGTTTACATCAGCTCATCGCTGACTCTCCAGCGGGTTTTCACAGGAGGCGATTGCCTGTAGAAGAGACTCATATAGGGGAGCTCTGGCAGCCTAGAGGTAAGACGCTGTGCTGCAATCCCGAAGGCATGCAGTTTGAATTCCACCAGGTGCTCTGCAGGAGAAGGATGGGTATTCTCCTCCTGTGCGATTAACTGCCTCTGAAAACCCCCCAGAGAGGGTCAGCCATGGGTTAGTTGGTTCTGACTTGATGGTACACAACAACAGCAACAACAGGGGCTGATACGTCATTGCTTCCCCCACGCATAGCAAGACATTACCTGAGTCACATCTTCCAGCTACCTTCAGTTTCCCCTACCACCCCTGGCCACTCCTGTCCCCCCTAACAGGTGAAAAAGGTGTGAACCCAGCATAGCTAGCCCTATCCAGAGCCCCTGAGGGCTGTAAGTGATGTCTCTTAAGCCCCTTCTCCACCCTCCCCCATCAGCACCATATTGTCCCCCTCCCTGGGGGAGAGCAGAGAGCATATGCTTGGGCTCTGAGCTCATTTACATAATGAGACTGATCAGGATGAATAATTCATCAGGTGCCTGGGGGTTTGTGGGGGCGGATGTGGAGACAGTAGGTCTCCCCACTCTGAAGCCCTGGTCACTTTGATGGGTACAACCAGGGACCCAACCCCTCTTGGTTAGGTAGAGAGGGGACAGCCCTGGAGTCCTTGTGAGATAGCAAAGCAAGAGAGTTCATGGTCAGACATGAAGAAGAGCCAGTGGCTTGTTAGGTGCTGCAGTGCCGAGATGAGTTCTGACATCATCCTTTGATGGTCTCTGTGGAAGGGAGTGAGAAGATCTGCCTGGGGTTAAGTCGGGGTGAGGACAGGGCTAGGCTGGAAGCAGGGGCTCAGGAAGAGGTCCTCTGAGAGGTGAGACTGGAAAGGATGTATCAAGGCAGAGGAGGGGGCCTGGTGCCTGCCTGAAGGAGCCACTTCCCCAGGCTAGAGACTCCAAATCCATATTCCTGACCAGAACTCTCTCACCTCCCTTCCCACTGCTGCGATTCAGGACGAATGGGAATGGCATTTCTGAATCTGTGACGGCACCACAGTCCCACCTCGTCTCATCCGCCCCGCACCCGTCTGCTCAGTGCTTCCTGGGAATGTGTAATTAATATTTGCAGAGCTTCACATCTGGTGCTGGCTCTGGGCGTGGACCAAAAAAGCTGGTCACGTCAGGGCCCCTTTCCCGTTGGGCTCAGGGAGGCGGGGCTGCGGCCCCTATGCAGGTGCCTCTGAGACAGGCTCCGCCCGAGCCCACCACTTGAAACCTCAGTTCCTCATACACACACACTCACACGCTGGCTCTCGGTGCACTGCGGCCAGCACCTGTCCTGAGAGGGCCAGCAATGTCCAAAGGTGCTAGGAAACCCAGAGCCTGGGGCAGGAGAGAAGAGGTGACCCGGAGACAGAGACAGGCAGGCCTGGGAGTGCCAGGTAAGGTAGGTGAATGCTTTGGTGACCTTAAACCCCATAGTTTATCAGATCCCAGCGGTTACGTGCACCCCAAAAGGCAAACCTGTAGCTCTGTCGCTAAGAGAACCCCCACCCACATGTGGGCTGTTCAGCTGAAATGCTCAGAGATGGTTAGAAATGGTGAAGGAGCCTCACCCAGCCCACCACAGCCCCTCCCCA